TCATAGTCTTTCATATCAAGGTCTTTCTTCACCGATAATTTTGGAACCCCCTTAGCCTTCTTTTCTGTTTTTTCTTCATTGAAGACTTGGAAACAATACATTTTAGGACGAAGACTTATAAAATGAGTAATGATTTCCCCGCTACATTCATCTTTCATTTTACCTAAAACCTTCTTATTTGTTTTGTCGTGATTTGGGTGTTCAACCGGATGGTCGCTAAAGTCCATATGCTCTTTTAATTCAAGGAAGTCTTTATATATGTCATCAGTCATAGTCTGTAAAACATAACTATCGGTGTCTGTGTAGATGAGTTTGATATTATCCTGATACTTTGCTTTAAGCACATCGTAATAGAAACTATACATATGTTGTTTTGATAAATCTAGAATGGTCATTCCCAAATATATAGGTTTGTCCAGTTTCAACTTTGTTTTTGTCTTCTCCACTCCTACCAAGTTTTCATTGATGATATGACTGTTTTTGTAGTTAGGGTTATTGACACATTTTGCCATTCTATCCTGTGATGCTACTAATTCAAAATCAATATGGTTTCTTACATTTTCCATTGTTTTTCCATAAACCGCACTGTTCATAAGTTTAAAGAGGTCTTTCTCAAAATCACTTTTTGCTTCCTTTCTTTTGTTAGTGTTGAAGTCTATCCAAGGTTTCAACCACGCTCTTTGTTTGAACTTCACTATCCGATGAACCTTTTTCAAGACAAGACCCATTCTCAAATAATACTGAAGAGTTTTTATATGAACAACATAGTTATTTTTGTCCATCAAATTTAAAAGTAATTTTGGTTGCTTCTCATCTTTTGCCTCTTTCCCTTCGTAATAGTGTTTGTATAGTTCCTTCTGATGATTTGACAACATACTTTCTTTAACACACAAATTTTTCAGGTGCTAATGGATAATCTGAATGATAGTCGTGAAGATGTTGAGGATATTCTAAATCAACTTCCAGTATATAGGCATAATCATCCAATTCGTGCCACTGTTCAATATTAGGTGTTTTCTTCGTCCAAGTCAATTTACCAATGGGGAGTTTTTGAGACATTGCTAATCCGTAGAGGTTGTTAGCATCTAAATAATTTATGTAGTTGTTAGGTTTGCTTTCATCATAGTCATCACCCATATATGGATTGTTTGCCTTTGCTTCTTTATAAGACACTTGACACATACCACCACGAAGACCCTTCTCAATCATTTCATACATTTCCCTGTCAGTCATTGGTTGAAGTTCTGTTCCAGTCTTTAAAAAGAAGCATAGCATCAAAAGCAAAATTAGGTAAGGTAAAGTAATGGGCAGGGTCTAACTGATAATATTCTAAACATAAGTCTCTAAAATTTTCAAAGACATCAGTTAGTAGTAAAACATCAGTTCTTAGATATAAGTCGTGGTATTGACCTAAATTTACTAAACCAAAGTGTTCCCATATTCTCTTTGCTCTTTCATACTCTTCATCACTGATATGTTCATTAGTTAGATTACTGAAGAATGCCTTTTTAGGTGGTAATTGCTTTTCTCTAAACTTATCAAAGGTGGTAAAGTAGTCATAAGGATAAACCCCTTTATCAGTCAATAAGTCTAAATCCTCATCATTACTTATGTAGGGGTTTCTCTTACTGAATTTAAAATTGTTCTGCCAGTTTTCTTTCTTCTGATTAGTTCCCGAAGCTGACGCGTCGCTCACGCTAGACGCGTCTCCATATTTTGATAATTTAACTAGTTTATCCAAAGAAGAAGATAAGAAACTGAAACTGTCTTTAAAGCAAAGATTTTTAAAAGCAAATGTTATAAACTTTTCACTGTTTATTGCTATTACATCTATCTTAGCATTCTCTGATAAGTCATTTGCTCTCTCTATGATTAGATGACTGTCATAGTTCTTAAGGTTATGAAGGAACACGGGAATTTTGTAATATCTCATTGAAAATTGTAGATTACAATCATCGTGCGCAGTGCCCCTATACTTACCAGTAAAGTGGCAGTGGTCTCTGACTTTCTTATCATCTTCTTTAAAGTCTTTACCACAAATAAAGCAATTTTTAGCTGTTTTAAAATCTCTCCAGTCATCAGCTCTCATAATTATTTCTTTGTTTTCTTTCATCTTGTTCATTATACTATCCTTTACTTCAATCATTTTCTTTACAAATACATCCATACAATCCTCTCCTCTGTATAGGAAGGGTTCTGAAGACCCATCAATTGAATTGACTACATGTATCATAAAACCACAGGGTCTATGATGTTGATATTTGTCTGTTTTTAGTTCTTTAGTTGATACACTGCCAGTTCTAGTTGTTAAGCATTCAAAATCAGCATATATTACAAAAGGTGCTTTCAACTTTTTGTAATGATTTTTGAATACCATTGTTTGGTCTTCAGTTGGCATTTCTATCTGTTGTCCTTCTACTGCCATACATCCCCTTTCTTCGTGTTGTTTCAAAAGTTCTTCTGATTTAAAACCGTGTAGGCAGTGATGACAGTGATATTTCTTGTTTCCTCTCTTGTTGGTCTGACTTCCTATCAGTCTATCATAATTTCTTATGAAAACATAATGATAATTATCTCCATTCTGTAGTTTCAACAGGTCTATATGGTTAGTTGCTTTTGCTACTTTGGTCTTTCTATTTAAGTAGATGCTCTCTTTACCTTCTTCTTCATCAATTGAATAAACATTGATTGATATTTTGCCTTCATTGTTTTCTTCAAAAGTATCTATATCAACATTTGATGAAGGAAAATTCGCATTGTTCCAGTTCAGGGTGTCTTCAATCTTTTTATAACTACTTACTCTATAGGGATGTTTAACCTCATATACTTTATAAACACCACACTGAACAGAATACTTGAAACATTTATCATCTTCATTCTGAATATTAATACACGCTTTCTTACTTTGAACCCATTTAGGTAAATCAATGTATGAACCACCACGAGTTGGATTGTATTTGTCATAATTGAATTTCAACTTATCAATTTGAGTAATGACTAATCCACTTTCACTTAATTCCATTTTATCCATTTGTATTTCTATATCAGTTGCCATTTGGGATAAAACATTTGGTATTTCTCCTTCATTTGTTACTTCATATCTTCTACTTCTTATTGAATGTCTGACTTCTTCATTGGTCTTCTTGCTCTTGAAAGTGCTGAAGGTCTCTAAGACTATTTTCATTCCCTTCTGTTTGTTCAGGTATTCTTTCAATTTGCCTTCTTGGTATTTTAGATATTGTAATGCCTTAATCCCTTTAACCTTGATGTCTGTTAATGAATAGGAATTGGCATAACTCTTGAAGGCCGACTGTTCATCACTAACATTTGCCTTAAACCTCTTTTGTATTCTGGTTAGTGTTTTGTTCTTGTCTAAATCGACCCATTTTTTACCTCTCTTCTCTTTCAATTCCCACTTCTTATAATCCATTGTTTGCTTTATTTTGTTGAATTTGGTTGATAGTCTTTTTGTTATGGGTTTGTTCCTTTCAAAGTTGTAGGTCTTCTCTCCTATCTTCAGTTTCTTCTCTTTAACCTCACCCTTTTCTGATGCTATAAGATAATCTAAAACATTCTGCTGTGAAGTGTCCATTATAGTATAGTCTATATTATTATTAATTGTTGTTTCTTTAAGTAGAGTTTCATTATTTGATAATTGAGGTGTTGAGGATTGATGTATTTGTTGTTGTGTTGATGATTCACCTAATTTTTTATTATTCAACCTTGCACCTTCTCCCATATACTCTATACTATATAAGGTGTTATTTCTTTAAGTAGTTTTTGGTTATTGGTCTGCTGTTGGAGTTTCTGGGTTTGGGGTTGAAGTTCAACCTATAAACATGTTCAATAAAAATCATTCTTATTGAAAAGTTTTGGTATGAAAAACCTTTGAACGAAAGGTGTTTTAAGGTTGCTTAACGCACCTTTCAAAGTCTGCGTCTGTTGTTCTTACAAATGTTGGTGTTGCGGTGCTTTGCTAAATTTGATTTGCTGGTTATTGTTTTGCCACAGTCTGGACATTCAATAGGAGTTTTGAGATTTGCTTGAAAGTAATTCTTAAAATAATCTGGGTCTAAGGGTTTCTTATCATATGTTCCGTCGGGTTTCCACCTTGAATTTTGGGTCTTTGGTCTATGAAGTTCTTCTGACATTTGTTCAAATAAATCCTCATCAATTTCTTGTTTTATTCCATCCATTACCAAAAAGCAAGACATAATTTACTTATTATATAAGGTGACATTTCTTTAAGTGATTTTGGGTTTTGTGTCTGGTGATCGTTTTGGGCTGGAAAAAATTAATGCCTGAAAAGTTGGATTTTTGATGTTTTAAATTAGTTTGGGGCATTCTTAGATAGGTATGTGTTGGGTAGGAATGCATGTTGTTGGTCTCGTGATGTTGTGTGTGGGGGTGTTGTGTAGTGCGATGGGGTGTGATGTAAGTTGGAAGTTTCTTCTAAACTTCCTTTGAGGGTGCGGTAATGGGCGATGCCCTTAACACAGGAAAAAGAGGTTCTCCGCAAGTTGATGATGAAGACCTCCCTTCTGACAAGTCAGGTTTGATAAGGGAGCATGTGGTTTAACGCTGTATATTATATGTGTGAGTGTGGATGTCTCCTAATATTGAAATAGGGGTTTTACTTCTCAACCTCTGAATGACTAACCGCACGAAGAAAACTAGTCTCTGATGAAACTTTCAACACTTGAAAACGTTTTTTCTTTTGTTCAATTCCCTCGGACAACTCTTCCCTCCACGAACTTGTTGAAAACGATGTCTTCTCAACCTCGGAGCGGATGGGCGATGGACTGAAGGTTTTAGAATGAAGAAAGTCTCATTGGGGATGACAAAACTCTCATCCTACTATGAGGTCTTCCTCATATCCAAAAACCCTAATTCTTCTGGGGGAAAGCAACAAATATGAGGAAACCCTGAATATGAGGATGAGGTCATCTCCATCCTTGAGGGAATGAGGGAGTGCTCATCAAGACAAAGGGTCTCGTTCGTTTTTTCTGTGAAGGCTGTCCAAAGGTGTCTGTCTACCGCAATTGGGCAGTGATTGCCTGAACATTACAAACGCCCCTCAGTGGTTCTAGAGGTCAAAGACCTTCTTGACGGCCTCATGCTGACAGTCAAACTGCAACTCATAGCGACCATCATCTCGGGGCGTGAAGATGTTAGTCTTGACCATATTGCGGATGAACCCCTGTTCGGCGTCTGCCAACTTGCTGGATGTAGCCCTTTTGATGTCACCAATGCCGATCGGCTCATGCAAGGCCTTCTGGTAAAGTCTCTTGAGATCTGTGAAGGGCTGACTGTTGGTCTTCTCAATGGCCTCCACCCACGTTTGCATCTGCTTGTTGCAAAAGGTCTCCTTGTCAGCTGATTCCTTGAGCTCCTTCAACTTCTCAAAGGTTCTGGGCATCTTCATCAGCATCTCTTCGCTGATGTTTTCCTCACCCATGGCCTTGAGGTAGGCCTTGGACTTGGCCATGGGTAGCTCTCTTCCAAGCATCTTACGAAGACGAGGCTCTCCTAACGACAGCATCATCAAGCCCTCGCTGGAGGAGATGAGGGCCGATGACAAGTGCCTGTCTGCGCACAGGTACTTCACTTGCTTTACAAAGAACTTCGCATCAAAGTGGGTGGGGAAATGAAGGTGCTCTTTGCCGGTGGTCATCTCAATGATGTTGGAGACCTGTGGCTCATCCATTCCCTGCTTTGTCGCAGCCACCACATCAAAGCCAAGGCGAACCGGCTTTTGGGTTTTCTCATTCACCTTCTCAAAGACCTCGGTCACCACACGCTCGTGGGTCTTCCCCCAATCCATCCTCATGCCATCCAGAAGCCACGGGAGCTTCCAAATGCTCTGGCGCAACTCATTGTGGATGGCTCGATGCACGTCGTCGTGGGAGACCTTCATGAAAAAGGGGTTCTCGGCCTCCCACAGAACATGTTGAAGCGTGGTGGTTTTTCCAGTGGCTTGCATGCCAATGAGAGCCACCATGCCATTCTTGCCAAGACCTCGGTGGATGGCTGGGAGGTCAAAGTTCACGAACTCGCTTTGGAAGTCCTCCGGTTGTTTTGGGCGGAAGCGCCCCTTTTGGATGGCACGAGCCATCCGGTCTTGCTCGGTGGAGTTCCACGCAACGGCCATGAGAGAGCCGCTGACCCCACTACCAAAGATGAGGGGCACACTTTTCTCCCCAATCCATTTCGCCATGAACCCAACATCCTCTGGCTGTTGCGGGGTCTTGAGCCCCAATCTTGTCTGAGCGAACAAAGATTGAGAACATAAAACCTTCAAAATCAAGCACTTCCGCCAAAACTCTATGAAGGCAAGTTCGCACGACGACACAAAACGAGATTGCACAAGTCCTCTCTCCAAGCACTGGGTGTCCCAACACTAACAAAAATGAAGAGCATGAAGACGTGGCGATGCGGGGAGGCAACGGTCGGCAAACCAAACACCCCTAAAAACAATCTAAAGACATAACCCCTTGACAATATAGAGACCGAATGACTGACAAGAAGCAATGTTCAAAATGTAAAGTCTTTCAACCGCTCTACAGGTTTGAGGATGGTAAAAAAACAATGTGTCCTATGCCTTGAAAGCAAACGAAGATATAGAAAAAAATATAGAGAAAGGGAAAATGAGAAATCCAAAGAATACTACAAACAAAACCAAGAAGAACGAAACAAAAAGCACAATCTCAAATCAGAATGTCCATTGTGTAAGTGTATGGTGAGAAAGTATGCTATGAACAGACACGAAGAAAGTCAGAAACACCAACTGAAACTAACAAACCTAAATCAACCAAAGATAATAAGCAACGAAGATGATGAAACAGGAATAATGGGAATATAACCAAACCATAACCACAACCCAAACAACTCAGCTCATGCTCCCCCTCCCATCCACCCGAGCATCGGACC